TGTGATCCCCTAAAGGCTCCCAGACCAGGAATGCCTCTAGAAGGGAACCTGTGGGGATTAGCTCTTCTTTGATTACACGTGTGGCCCCAGAAAGTCTCACAAAACTCTCAGAAGTTTATGTCTGAGGAGGGAATCTAAAGGGAATAAGAGTAGGTGGTGAAGATTCCAATGATCTAGATCACCTTAATGGTTCCTTAGGGGTCCTCACATACAACTGCACAATTTACAAAGCATATTCCCATGTAATTTCTCAGGTTCTTCTAGCACTGAAATGGTTTGGGGACAGCAATATCAATCTCATTTTACACATGATGCCAACAATGATAAGGAGGCTGAAAAATACAGGACACTTGTCAAAAGCCAGCCTTGTGGGAGTCCTTAATGCTGCTTTTGGTTCACTTCAGTGCTGAGATTAAAGAGGCTTCAAGGTCAACATGCCCAGCTCCTTTCTTTTCCATTACAGATATGGAAACTAAAGTTTAAAAAGGGTGTTGACCTACACGAATTAGTACAAGAAAAAGGTGTCCTGGCCCCCTACTATGGGCCCTTTCTATTGCCCTCAGTCTCTCTTCTGTTTGTTTTTTGTGAAGTTGAAGAAAGAATTGTCCAACTGCGCAGAAATAAGGAGTCAATCATGCCAATCTGATCATGTATGCCCATAGCACCCTGAGCCCTCAGTGTCTGTATCCCCAAGGCTGTAAATCTTGCTTGGTCTAAGAGAAGGGTGTAGTAATCTGAAGCACTGTTTATAGTATGCCTGATGTTTTTCTAAATTTTTTTTTTACTTATCACAATATTTGTCATTATTAAAACATCCCCATGCAATATGTATTACCCTATTTTGCAAATGGAAAAATTACGTTTAAAAGGCTTATGAATTTGCCAAATAGCATACGGCGACTAAATTATAATTCAAGGTTTAGTTCAAGTTCACAAAAGATGTGGTGTAATGTTAAATGTTTGACAGTTTTTCAGGAAGAATGAAAACTAAGTCAAACTCTCATTTTGGTTAGAATGACAATGATAAATTTATGTCTGCATTTCTGAGTATATGCATAACTTTCATTCTGTGACCACGGACACTGTTCATTAGCCCATTGGTCAGTGGTTAGAAGAGCTGGGATAAGAGGCAATTAGTCACAGAATGGGGTTATCCTAACCACTTGATTATTAAAACACCACTCTGCTGAGGCCACTCTTCATTGGTTTTAAGAAGCTGCACTGCAGTCCCGAAGGCATACGGCTCAAATTCACCAGCTGCTCCTTGGGAGAAGGATGGATAATCTTCTGTGAGATTTAGTGCCTCTGAAGAGCAGTTGGAGGGTCAACTATGAGTGTTTTCAGACTGAACAACACACAACAACCCTGCTGAAGTCACTGTTTGTTGAGTTTTTAAAAATTTTGCTTTTTATTTTTTTGAGTTAAAGTTTACAGATCAGATTTTTTTCAACCAATAAAATTTTGTTTATAACATTATCATTGAGAAATGTAATTAATTAGCTATGTCTACTAAATCTCTTATTAATATATTGCCTTTCCCTTCACCCAACTTATATATTTATCATTACTCTACTTTCCCTTCCTTCCAATCCCTGTTAACTTTCCAAGATTGATTCTATCTCTGGGTAAGCATTACCTTAGCTTTTTGTAACAGTAGTCTTATGTCATAATTGTCTTTTGTGCCAAATTTATGCCACTTTGCATAATTTGGTCAAGATTCATGCATGTTGAACTGTACTTCACAAACTCTTGATTGGTTTTTAGTGATGCATAATATTCCTCCATGTGAATGTACCATATTCTCTTTTCTATCTATTCATTTATGGGCGCTTTGGTTTTTCCAACAAGTGGGATTGCTGGATTAAATAATCTTTCTTTTCCAAATTTTCAAAGACAGTGAAAAATTGCTTTGCATAGTGGTTGTACTAGTTTGTGTTTCCATCAGCAGTGTTCCAGCAGTGTACTGCTGAGAGTTCCAATCTCTACACAACCTCACCAGCATTTAGTATTTGCTGTCTTACTAAACATTACTATTATTGCCAGGTGTGATCTACATTTCACCAAGTTGGGAGGTCACCTTCCTCTTCTGGTAGGAGAAGCTTCCTGTCTCTACAGCTAGAGTTCTTCAATTTATTGGCAAGATTAGCAAATCCTTCTGGATTGGTCAATCTCCTTGTAGAGTGGTAGGTAGCCAGTCTCCTTGTGGGTAGACCAATATGCACCATTTGCATAGCCATGTGCCTCCACAGTCAGTCATCTACATTTGAAAAGCCGTGTTTGAGAGATAAACTCCACAGCAGCAAATTTTCCCAATGCAGTACATCATTTGATTTCTTGACTTCTTCTATAGCACTGGGAAAATGTGCTATTAGGGACCTCTCCCGAGTACTGAGAAGCAATGGATATTAGTCAGAGGCTAAGGTCTGCCTTAGCCTCTGATCCAGACAGTGGTCATCACAACTACTTGCTATGCATTAGAGAGCTGGACAATGACTAAAGGCGACAGAAGAAGAATCTATGTCTTTGAGTTGTGGTCATGGAGAAGAGTCTTGAACATACTATTGACCATCAAGAAAACAAATAGATCTGTCTTGGACAGGATGAAACCAAGTTTCTCCTTGGAGGCTAGGATTTTGAAGCTCCATCTCACATAATTTGGGCACATAGTCCTAAGAGACTGATCCTTGGATAACGACATAATGCTCGCAAGGGTAGAAGGGCAACACGGGAGAGGAAGACCCCGGATGAGGTCAATTGATATAGTAACTGAGTCAGTGCAGGTAAGTGTATTGGAGTCAGTGAGACTGGCTCAGGACAGGGCAGGCTTCAGAGCTGTTGTACGTAAATAGGGTCATTATGAGTCTCAGGCAACTTGACCACATGCGACAACAACAATAATTATTGCTGGAGTGAGGTGATAACTCATTGTGCCTTTTATTTGCATCTCTCTGATAGCTTGATAATTTCTTTATGGGTTTGTTAACAATCTAAATATCTTCTTTAGTGAAGTGTATTTTCATGTCCTCTACCCATTTTATGATTGGATTGTTTATATTTTTCTTGTAGAGATGTTGGAGTTTTCTACAGATTTTCTTTTTTCCCTGAGGAAATATTGGAGATTGATCCCTCCTTTGATGTGCCATTGTCAAAATTTTTTTTTCCTGTCTGCAGGTCCTCTTTTCACTCTTTTAGAGAAATCTTTTGGTATGTGTGTTGTGATTATGTGCCATCCAGTTTACTATGACTCATAATAGTGCTCTGAACAACAGATAAGAATCTTGTCCTATCCTGCACCATCTTTACAGTTATTGACATTCTTTTTTTTAAATTTAGTTTGCTTATTTTTCATTTCATTGAACATCTACAGAGATTTTGGAATTCCATTCATTCATTGTTGCACCCTTCTCCCCGCACAATCCCCCTCCCCCCTCCCCCCATTTGCTCCTCTCCTTGAAAGCAAAAGAAAAACTCCCTCATTGGTACACAATCCCCCCATACCTCCCCAAACCCCCCCCCCTACCCCCAAATATAATCCACTCTGCAACCCTCATTGCGTACTCCTACGATAAAAATAATGCCCTAAATTATAATACTTTTAGACTATTCTCTCCCCCATAGACTTCAATGCCGTAAACATATTTCATCCAGTTTTTCTCAGTCTTACCCCCACCCCAATGCCAGCCTCATTCTACATTCTTAGCCTAATGTTGCAGTCACTGTGTCAAGCCACATTGTTGAGGGTTTTCCTTTTTTTCTCTCTGCGCATTGTTGAGTCTTTCTTTTTTGTTCCCCCCGGCATGGTGGGGTTTCCCAGGATCAACCGTTCCTAATAACATTCCCAAAATATGTGGGTTTAAGTTTCACCATCCTTACTCAAGCAGCACCCTTGCTACATTTCTCCCAAGACAGATTTAAGTGGACTCTTTTGGTAGTCCACAGGATATTCAATACACTTTGCCAAGAACACAATTCTAAGTCATTGATTCTTTTTCAGTCTTCCTTATTCATCATCCAACTCTTAGTTGCATAAGAAGGAATACATCTGATGCATATACGAATTTCATTTTGGGGAGGTTGTCTGGTTTATCCTCTTGATTGTGCATTTTTTTTCTGAAAATTGCTGATATTTTATTTGTCATGGCTTTTTGTTCTCCCAATTTCATCTGGATTTTTTTAACCAATTGCCAGGCAATATGCTTTATCAACATGGCCGACTTTTGAGTGCCTCTTTAATTCTTTCCACAGTGGTTTGTGCTCTCTCAAAGGTGCCTTGGAAGACAGGCCTGGCAATCCACTTCTTTTTTTTTTTCTTTTTCACATTTACAGAGACTTTGGATTTCCATTGTTGCGCTTTTCTCCCTGCCCACCCCTCCCCCCTAGTTTGCTCCTCTCCTTGAAAAATAAAATAAAAATTCCTTCATTGGTATACAATCCCCCACCCCTTGATTGTGCATTTTAAGTTATATTTGACAGTCTATTTTTGCCAATGATAAGGCCTTCTAAATTTGGCCCATTTTTTTTTCTTTGATAATCTTTATAGGTTTGTTTGGTTTTTTAAAAAATTTCAAATGAGTTGGCTTAATTCCAAGTGGCACAGAATTCTGGGCATAATGAAGAATGAAGATTCTGACAGGATTCTGGATTCCATTTACTTTGACTGTACAGCTAAGATCAGAATGGCTGAATGAGAACTGGAGATAGACCACCATAGGGTTTCTTCTTCACTATTTCACAAAGTTTCTTCTTAACTGTACAACAGGCTCCAAGACAACACTTCATTTTAACTACAGGTGGTAACAGATGTTACAGCAGAGAATCCAGATGTTTTAAAAAAGAACAGAAGTAAGGTTCATTATTGCCTCAGTCTTATTTTTTGCCAGATTTCTTCATTCCACCCGTGGCCAGGGGACCTTTGCCGGCGGCCTTCACTTTTAGTTCCTCGAGTTTCTTCCGTTCTTTTTGTTTCTGCTTGAAAGCCTTATCTCTTCCATCTCCTTGGTCTACTTCTTGGGCTGTTTCAGGGGCTGCTTCTTACCACCTTCTCGGCCAGACATGGTGCCGGCCACCCCTTCGATAATCTTTAGTTTTAAATTTTACAGCTAGGTCATTGATTCACGTTTAGAGTTTTTTTTATATGATGTGCAGTATGGGTTTTGTTTCATTTTCCTGCAAATACACATCCAGTTTTGCTTGTGTCGTTATGTCCTCGGAGTTCTCTTTGTTACTGTAGAGGAATTCTACTGATTTTTGGATATTGATCATATATCCTGCCACCCTACAAAATTAGTCTACTAGGTCTAACAGCTTTTTTATTGAGTCCTTGGGGTTTTCTGTGTATATTATCATATCATCTGCATAAAGCAACACTTTAGCCATGTCTTTGTCAATCTAGATGCCTTTTATTTCTTTCTCTTATCATAGTGCCTTAGCAAGTACTTCCAATACAGTAGTGAATAAAAGTGGTAACTGTGGTCATCAGTAGTGAATAGAAGTGGTAACTGTGGTCATCCTTGTCTGGTCGCTGTTCACAAGGAATATGCTTTTAGTCTTTCTTCATTGAGAATAATATTAGCTCTTGGTTTTGCATATGTACTATTCACTATGTTGAGGAAATTACCTCCTATTCTTGTTTTTCTGAGTGTCTTTCTAGGAAAGGGTGTTAGATTTTGTCAAATGCTTTTCTGCATCAATTGCTAGAATCATATGGCTCTTTGTTATTTGCTTTGTTAATGTGGTGAATTATATTGACTGTTTTTCTTATGTTGAACCACCCTTGCATACCTGTTATGAATCCTACTTGGTCATGATAATTTTTTATGTGCTTTGGATTCTATTGGCTAGGATTTTGTTAAAGATTTTTGCTTCTATATTTATGAGATATACTGGTCTGCACCTTTCTTTTTGGATAATATCTTTGCCTGATTTTGGTATTAGGGTTATGCTTGCTTTATAGAATGTCCCTGAGAGTGGTCCTTATTTTTCTATTTTTTGTTTGTTTGTTCAGGTTTCTTTTTAATTTTTCTATTTTTTTAATACTTTAAGTAAAATTGATGATAGATCTTCTCTGAATGTTTGGTAAATTTCAAATGTGAAGCCATCTAGTCCAGGATTTTTTTTTAATGGGAAAGTCTTTTTATGAGCTGTTCAATTTCTTCTTTAATGATGAACCCATCCAAGTTTCTACATCTGGTGGGGTCAGTCTGGGTACGGCATGAATATTGAGAAATTAATCCATTTTTCTTCTAGGTTTTCAAATTTATCAGAGTATAGCTTTTCATAATATTCCAATATTACTGATTTAATTTCATCTGGTTCTGTTGTGATGTCACTTCTATCATTTCTTAATCAGGTTTTCTGTGTCTTCTTTCCCACCCCCCCTTTTATTAAATTTGCCAGTGATTTGTCAATTTTTTAGACTCTTCAAAAAACCAGCTGCTGGTCTTATTGATTGTTTCAATTATTTTTCTGTTCTCTCATTGATTTCAGCTCTTGTCCTTATAATTTCCTTTCTTCTAGAGTCTATAGGATTAGATTGTTGTTCTTTTTCTATTTGATGACGGTGTTAAGTGAGAACATTGATTTTTCTTCTTTCTTTCTTTTTATGTTTATGCCTATTGCTATGAACTGCCCCTGGAGAACTGCCTTAGCTGCATCTCAGAGGTTTTTGTATTTTCACTTTTAAAGGAACTTATTTATTTCATTTTTTATTTCTTTTATCCAGCTTCTAGGATAATACAGTTTATCTGGGAAGCTGGATTCTATGAAGAGGGGTGTAGTAACAGGTTTAGAAGGAGATTCATCAATAACCTGCATCATGCAGATGACACACCTTGCTTACTGAATGTGACAGGAGGGCTTGAAACACTTGTTGCAGAAGATCAAGGAATGCATCCTGCAGTGTGGATTGCATGACAATATCAAGAAAACAAAGATTCTTACCAATGGGCTAATAGGTAGTGTCATGATGCATGGAGAGGAGTTTGAAACTGTCAACAGTTTCACCCGCTTGGATCCACAATTAACACTCTTGGGATCAGCATGCAGAAAATAAGGAGACTCGTTGCACTGGGGAAATCTTCAGTTAGGAGCATCTCCAAATTATTAAGAAGTAATTATGTCAGTTTGAGGACTAAGTAAGGGGCATCTGACTTAGGCCATGGTCTTTCTAATTACTTGCTATGCATCTTTGAGCTGAATAGTGAATAAGGATGAAATGACAGAAAAATACTTGTAGTGCTGGAGAAGAGCACTGAACATCCCAAGGACAGACAAGAGAACAAACAGATAAGTCTTGGAGAGAATGCAGTGGGAGCACTCTTTGAAGGCAGGAATGATGAGACTTTTCCTCCCTTCCTTTGGCATGTTGCTAGGAGGTGCTAGTCCTTTGAGAAGGACATGATCCTGGGAAGTGTGGAGGGTCAGTAAAGGAGAGGAAGACTTTCAACTACGTAGATTGAAACAGTGACTGCTGCAATGGACTCTAGTGTGTCAGGAAGTTTGAGAGTAGTGCAGGATAGAACAGAATTCAGATCTTTTATTCATAGGGTCTCTATGAGTCATACTCATCTTAGTGTCACCTAACAATAATTTCTTTTATAACACAATCAATGTTCTAGCAGAGAGTTAGTTAGCTTCAACTGGGGTGGTTTTGTAAGCTTTACCTTCTTGTGCTTAATTTTTAGTTATGGCATTGTGGTCTGAGAATATACTTTGTATTATTTCAATGTTTTTTAATTTGTTAAGGATTGCTTTGTATCTTAATAGGTGATCCATTCTGGAGAATGTACCATGTACACTTGAGAAAAAATGAATTGAGTTTTAGTTGAGTGCAGTATCCTTAATATGTCCACAAGGTTGTGGATTGTATAGTTGATTGTATAGTTGAGATCTTCTGCTAAGTTTCTTTTAAGTTATCTTTTGGTGATATTTGTGTGCTGAAGTCTACTACTATTGTGGTTCTGTCTATTTCTTTCTTCAATTCTGTTAACTGTTGTTTTATGTATTTTGCAGGTCTATCATTTGGTGCATAAATATTGACCAAGGATATGTCTTCTTGATCTATTGTGGCTTTAATCAGTATGTAATTTCCCTCCTTATATTTTATGGTGGTTTTCATTCTGAAGTCTATTTTATCAGAGATTAGGATTGCCACTTCCACTTTCTTGTGATTGCCATTTGCCTCATATATTTTTTTCCCCAGTCTTCGATTTTGAGTCTATCTTTCTCTTCTTTTTTTAGATATGTCTCTTGTGGACAACATATTGATGGGCTTTGATTTTTTTATCTATTCTGTTACTCTTTTTCTCATCATATTCAGTATGATTATTATCAGACTAGGTTTACTGTTGACATTTTGTTGTGTTTCCTTTTCTGTTGTTTCTGGTTTCAATGGTCCACCCACTTTCCATTTGTGTCTCCATGCGAAGGACTTCACTTAAAATTTTTGTAGTTTTGTTCTCTTTTCCACATAGTCCTGACATTCCTTCTTTTCTGCAAATGCTCTAATTTCTCCTTAATATTTGCTGGAGAGTTTTGGTGGGTATGGAATCCTTGGCTGGCAATTATTTTCTTTCAACTTTCTGTATAAGTGATCCCATTGTCTTCTACCTCGCATGGTTTCCACTGATAAATCAGAACTTAATCTAATTGTTTCCCCTTTGTAAGTGACTGTTTTTCTCATGTTGCTTTTAGTATTCTATTTTTATTTTTTAATTTGGAGAATTTGACTAGGACATGTCTCAATGTTTTTCTTTTGGGGTCTAGTCTATTTGGTGTTCACTGTGCTTCTTGATGTAGATTTCTCTGTTCTTCAAAATACCTGGGAAGTTTTCTTCTAGTGCTTCTTCTACAATTTTCTCAGTGATTTCCCTGTCACTTCCTGTTCTGGAATTCCAATCATATGTATGCTGTTCCTTCTGATGTCCTTCCACATGATTCTAACGTTTTCTTAATTTTCTTTACATCTCATCTCTGATCTTTCTTATGGTATATTTCCAGTGAGGATCTTGTCTTCTATCCCACTCTCTTTTTCATTTCTTCAGTTCTACTTTTTTTGTTCCATCAGCACATTGGACACTTCTTCCATTTCTTTCTTAATATTCTGAATTGTGTTTTCATGCTTTTCTGTTATTTTCAGTACTGTGTTGGCTGTACTTTCTCTGTCTTGTGTTTTGGGGTAGTTTGTGGTTTTTTTTGTTGGTTTGGTTTGTTTTTTTTTTTAGTTCTTGTACCTCTTTATCTAGAGTATCAATTTTGTCTTCTATCTTTTGTATTTTCTTCCAGAGCTATTCAAGTTGATCCTCATAAATATCTTTCTTCTGGACCACTGTCACTGGTGTATTTGCTTTCTTAATGACTTCCACTGTTTCTTCCATCATTTGTATCTTCTCTGTAGCTGTTCAAATAACTCCATATCAATATATTTGTTCTGATTTTCTATATCTGGGGTATTCATTGGATTTGTTTGGGTTTTTTAGGAGAAGGGTTATTTTATTTTTTCATGATCACTGGGGCAGACTGCTACTTTCTTGACATTATGTAAGTAATTTCTTAGTAGGTGTTAGGTTTTAACTGTAAACTGTCTCAGGGTATGGCAATGTTTTGTGAAGGACACTATGTTTATTGGTGTTCCCCTCTTGTCTTCCTGAAGCATAATGACTGCTGCCTTCCAGAAACCATGGCTCCACCTGACCTTTTCTGCTTGACCTTAAAAAAATCCCATATGATGTAGCTAGACAGCAGTGTTTGAGGCCAAAGCACCTCTCTTCTTGTCTCTATGGGACTCTTCAGTGGCAGGTCCTTGACTTCATTCTTGTAGCAATCACAGGTGATGTCTTGATAGGAATTTGCATATTGGTGATCTCCTTTTTTTTTTTAAGCAAAAGGCCAATAGATGGCAGGCAGGAGGTGGAGGGAAGGCCATGGATGTTCCCCTACCCAAGGGAGGTGGTCTGGTCTCTCTAAAGGGCCCCACTCTATTCCAGGTGCTTGCAGGTGGCGTAAATCACTCCTCTGAGAAAGTAAATCTCAGTATTGTTTCAATTTAAGACTTACTATTTAGCAATGAGTTCTTATGCCAGAGTAATTAGTTATTTAACCATTTTTCATTTAATACCATTTGATATCCCTTTTTATAAATTGGCAATTCATATTATTCCTTTTATATTTAGGGTTTTTTTTCTTATTTTGCATACCAAGTCATTTACATGTGCCCTGTTTCATATTGTTTACACGTATTCTATTGGATCTCATGTCATTATAATTCATTACATTATTTCTATATTTTGTTGCCATCTTAATAAAAAGATTATATATTCCTACCAACTGTCATGTATTCTGCATTCATCTCTCTGGGAATAAAATACATCCTAGGTATTTTTAAAAATTATAAAATAATTCCAAGGAATATAGGGAGCAGTGGTGACTTTGTGGCAAGAAGCTGTGTTGAAATCCCGAAGGCATGCGGTTCTAATCCACCAGCTGCTCCACAGGAAAAGGATGAGCAATCTTTTCCCATGTGGTAACTGCTTCTGAAAACTTTCCAGAGGGTCAGCTATGGGTCAGTTCTGACTCGATGGTACAAAACAACATCATTATGATGAGACTTGATCATCTTACTTGCTTAAGCAAAGGAAGGTGAACAAAGATTTATGGGGAGTTTCTGAGGACAAAATTTGCCTTTGTAAAATATTTTTATTGTAATTTGGTTGAAGATTTACAGCAATTCAATTTTCCATTCAACACTTCATACACACTTTGCTTCGTGTCATCAGTTACAATCCCAACAACATAACGTCACCCACCCCACTTAGTCTTCATGTTTTCTAATTTCACTTCTTTCCTATCCCTTCTTAAATCTGAACTTTGTCTTTGAGAAAATACTGCCCCTTTGATCGCAAGTAATCAATTGTTTTAATGGCTGGGTATCTTCCTAGTGATACTGTTCACTGTGTAAACCTATCTATTGTTAGGATAAAAACTGAATACAGGCATGAGTTTAGTTCCAAGGCTGAAGTCTGGCTAAGGGCTATTTTCATAAACCTCCATATAATCAATAAGATTGGTCTTTTTTATGATTTTTCATTCTGTTCAACATTTTTTTCCACTCTATAAAAGAACTTTAAAGTGATCTCTTGGTGATTAGTCACTGGTAATAGTTGGAAAGAGTTAAGAATTTTAAACTCTTTTTTTTTTCTTCTTCTGTCAAGAGTGATATGACTGAGGTACGTGAGAAATTTAGTCTTATAAGCTGTGAGATTATAAAGATATTTGTTATGGTGCAACAATTTACCAAGTTGATCAGTACAGTAATGCTGGGTTTATATATCACATTTGTGCCAAAGGATAATTACTATTATGGTTCAAATGCAAAATTCTGGATGAAGACCAAATTATAGATTTTTCTCAGTATTTTTCTTTGCCCCATACTGAACATTCTGCCACAGGCCTCTTATAGATCTCAGTTCACCAGGCCACCCTACCACGTTTCAGTACCTTAAGAAAAGCTCCCTTAATATCCTTATTCCTCAGACTATATACTACAGGATTGAGCAGAGGAGTGAAGACATTGTAAAAGGTTGAGACTTGCTTATCACGTTCAGAGGAGTAGCTGGAATTGGGCCTCATGTAGACATAACTGGCTGGAGCATAGAAGAGTATGACCACAATAAGGTGAGAAACACAAGTGGAGAAGGCCTTGTAACGGCCACTGTTGGACTTGATCTTCAGAATGGCCAGAACAATACGGATATAAGAGGTCACAATGAGAGAAAGTGGGGCAACAACCATAAACACACTGATAACTAGATCTACCATTTCAATGAGGTGTGTATCCATGCAGGCCAAGCTACGTACTGAAGGACCTTCACAAAAGTAGTGGTTCACAATATTAGGCCCACAGTAGGGAAGTCTCATAGTGAGGAAAGTGTGAATCAGAGATAAAAAGAAACCACAGGCACATGTTCCTGCTGCCAGTTGGGTGCACAGGTCCCAGCTGAGAATAATAGTGTAACGCAGAGGATAACAGATAGCCACATATCTGTCATAGGCCATGACCACAAAAAAGATGCATTCAAATAGGCCAAAGGCACCAAACATATACATTTGCAGCCAACAACAAGCAAATGATATTGTCTGAGAATGAGTAAGAAGATGCACCAACATTTGAGGTACCGTAGTGGTGACAGATCCCATGTCCAATAAGGACAGAATACACAGAAAGAAATACATGGGAGTATGGAGATGAGAGTCCAAACAGATCAGAGTGACAATGAGCCCATTGCCCAGGATCGAGCTGAGGTACAGGAGAAGGAAGGCAAAGAAGAAAATCCTATTGGAAGTGGGGTCACTGGAGAAGCCAAGGAGAATGAATTCAGAAACCCAGCTTTGATTCTGCTCTCGAGGCATCCACATGGTGAGACCTACAAGAAAACTACATTAATATAAATGTTACTGGTTGTATGGTGAAGGAAAAAGATGACTGATCTCCTCCCTTGCAATGTATTGCCTCTGAAAACTCACTAGAGGGTCAGCTACACATCAATTCCTACTCAACAGCACATAACAACAACAATAATGCCAGTTATCTACAAGATACACTCACTAGAGACAAAGACAAAAGTATGCTAAAAAATTTTTAAAAATGTGGAAGAGACTTATCAAGCAAGTGACAGTCAAAACAGTGGGAATAACAATATCAACTTCTGATAAATAAATATCAAAGCAATACCTAGAATAAAACACAAGATAAGACTTATTATTATTATTAAAGTAGCTATCAAACAACAGAACAAAATAATAAATTATATCAATGTACTCAATCAAAAATCCCAAAATAGATAAATTAAAACTTAGCAGACTTGAAAAGAGAAATAGTTAATTGTGCAACAATGGTAGGAGACTGTAAAATGATTTTAAGTGAAGGCAAAGCAACAAGAAAAACCACAATAAAAGCATAAGAACTAAACAACATGGTCTTTCCTCATCCCTTTGCTTCTGGAAATTCACCCATCTCAGAGAATCTCTCTTTGAAATGTAGCTTTCCTATTCTCTTTCTCTGCAACCTAACTTTTCTAAAGAAAAATGTCTTCTTCATCCTTGCTCTCAACAGCATACTCTAAGAAAGGCTTGACACTGGGATTCTTTCAAGCAAGACATAGTCAAGCCAAAAACCAGAGGATTAATTAACAATTGATTTTTCATTATCTCCCAGCCAGTTCAATTCTTTGTCTAAGCAAGGTGGACTGAATGAGGAAATTCGCTGCATGGTAACATTTTGGTTCCAAAGTTGGGATCATTCAAAGGAAGCCCAAAGAAAACCTAGAATCATTCAAGTCCTTCACTACCATTAAGATAGTTACAGACATAAGATGTAAAGCAAAAATACATGTTTCCCATTCATGGGAAGAAAGTTCCTAGTTGGGTGATCCAATTGAAGACGAAATTCAAAAGAATTACTGGAAAACCTGACTGACCAACTTCCCCTTAAAAGAAGAATTCACAAATACTAAGAGGTCCTTCTATTGTTTAATTGTAGCTTTAATTGTTATTTTAATATTGTTATTTAATATGTTAACATTTGTTTTTACTATCCTTAGATTTGATATGAAAATATTATAGCTAATTCACTAAACTGAAAACTTTAGGATTATTTTTAGGAAGGCTGATTGCCTGTGACAATTCCCTAATAGATCCTTAGCTGTCACATGTGGGGAGAAAAAACAAAAAACAACTAAACACAGGTAACCAACTTTACCTCACAGACAAATACAAAGTACTCCATTCAACAACAGCACAGTATACATTTGTTTCTGAGTCCATACAGAAAATTCTCCAGAATCGCCTATATATTAGGCCACAAAGCAAGACTCAGTAAATTTCAAAACTGTGAAATACTATGAAGCATCTTCTCAAATCATGTTAGTGTTGTTCTTATTTGTGACTGAGTTGAAACCAACTCAGAGCTAACCCTTCAGCAGGTTTCAAGAGGCAATAAACCACATGGAAGGAGATTGCCCGTCTTTCCCTCTCAAAACAGCTGGAGGAAGTGAACAATTTACCTTGGAGACATCAGGGAAACTCCTTATCCACTAGGTCAAAAGCATTCTCAGTTCATAATGCTATCATATTATATATCAGCCAGAAAACCAAGGGAGCAAAACCAAATATATGGAAATTAAGTCTCATCATGCTTTGTTAAAAAACTGTGGAATAGAAAGAATTAAAATATTTTTTGAAAGTCTCTAATCAAAGAAGAGCAATGATGTCAGGCTGGAGACTAAGGTGCACCTGATCCAGGCTATCATCTTTGCAATTACATGCTATGCATTGGAGAGTTGGACAGTGACTAGGGATGATAGAAAGAGAATTGATGACTTTGAGCAGTGGTGCGGGAGAAGAGTGTTGAATATATCATGGACTGCTAGAAGAACAAACAGGTTTGTCCTGGAGAGGGTGAAGCCAGAATGCTGACATATTTTGGGCATGTTGCAAGGAGGTACTGGTCCTTGGAGAGGGACATCATGTTTGGGAGAGTGGACGGATGGAGCAGGAGAGGAAGACCCTCAATAAGATGGATTGATTCTGTGATTGGGGTGGTGGGAATGAGTGTGTTTGAGACAGCGAGGTTGGCACAGGATAGAGTGGTGTTTAGGGCTCTTGTACGTAGGGTCGTTATGAGTCGCAAACGACTCGGTGGCACATAACAACAACAACAAATCAAAGAAGAAGAAAACAAAATGCATACAATAAAAGCAAGGCTCAAAGAGCAATTTATGCCAATAGCTACACAAATTTTAGAAAACTGAAACAGCATTAACATTTTCTCATAACATCTCCAAACAATTTTTGGTGAAACAGGAAATAAAACCCTGAAGTAATGAAGATTAAGGCAGAAATAAATAAAGCGGGGGAGGGGGGAGAAAGAAACAAACAAAAAGAAAGCTTTAATTAAATTTACAAATCTATCAAAAGAAAAGAAGCAATAAAACTAGTAAGAATTAAATGGGTGACAACACAACAGAAACAATTGAACTAGAATGACCATAAGAGAAGAACTCGAAGCACTTGCTGCAGAAGATCAAGTATTACAACCTTCAATATGGATTACATCTCAACATCACGAAAGCAAAAAAAAACTCACCATTAGACCAATATGAATAGATGACATCATGATAGATGGAGAAAAGACTGAAATCTTCAATGATTTTATCCTGCTTGGAGCCAATCAACACTCACGGTAACATCAGTTAATAAATCAAAAGGCATGCTGCATTGGGAGAATCTGCTATCAAGGACCTCACCAAAATACTAAAAAGCAAGGATGGCAGTTTAAAGACTAGGGTGTATCCAAGCCATAGTCTTTACAGTTACCTCCAATGTATCTGAATAAGGATGATACAAGAAGTATTGATGCCTTTGTGTTGCTAGAGAAGAGCATTGAATATTCTATGGACTGGCAAAAGAATAAACAAGTCTGTTTTGAGCATTAACATTGTTCATTAGAGGCAAGGATGATGAAACTTTGTCTTACATACTTTGGGCCTATTATCAGGAGGAGTAAGTCCTTGGAAAAGGACATCATGCTGAGAAAGGAAGAGGGTCAGAGAAAAAGAGAAAGACCCTCAACAAGATGGATTGAGACAGTGACTGTAACAAGGGCTTGAGCATGTAACAAGATCGTGAAGATGGAGCAGGATAGAGGAAAATTTAGATCTGTTCATAGGGTTGTTATGAGTCTTAGGTAGCTTGATGGCACCTAACAACAACAATAACAACATGAGATAGAATACACAACAAATAGGAAATGGTCAATTTTTTAGAAACATACTACCTACTTAAACTAATACAAATTAACGTAGACAAATTGAACAGATCCATCCCAAAAGAAAAAACTGAAGAGGTCATCTTGGCCTAAGTAGCCTCACTGGTGAATTCTGCTAAACATTCAGGAAAAAAAGCTGAAACTAGTACTACTCAAAGTATTCCAGAATATAGAAAGAATTTTTCCAAATTCATCCTACTAAGCAAGAATAATAGGGTGAGCAAAGATATTAAACAAAATTAAAATTAAACAATATCCCTAATGAACATAGATATAAAAATCTCAAAAACATGCAGTGTTCCCTTGTTCTATTCTGACAACTGCTTTTTGTTATATGTATAGATTTCACCTGAGTGGAATTTAATGTCCTGCAATTCCCATTTTTCTCAATGTTAACCATAATTTGTTATGATCCAAACAGTCAAATGCCTTTGCATAATAAATAAAACACAGTTAAAGATCTTTCTGATATGTTCTGCTTTCAGTCAAGATCCATCTGACATTAAAAGTGATATCCCTTATTCCACAATCTCTTCTGAATCTAGTTAGAATTACTGGCAATTCCCTTAAATGTGCTGTTTCATCTATCTTTTATGTTCTTCAGCAAGATTTGACTTGCATGTGATGTTAATGATATTGTTCTATTTAATTAGACTATCTTTGGAAAAAATATAACTCTATGGAACCCTGGCTAAAATACTCAGAAGCTAAACAAAGATCACTGGTCAGTCTGTTCAAGAAAGATGCGTCTGATGCTTCCCTAACAATTTGTAGCTTTGGAAACCTTATGGGTCAGATCTACTTTGTTCAAAAGGGTCACTATGAGTCAGAATTGACTCATTATCAGTTGTTGTTTGTTGATTGTCATTGAGTTGAGCACAACTCATAGCAACCCTATGAACAAAAGTCCTGAAGCCTTTCAATAACTGTCGTAGTTTCTCATAGTTCATAGAGTTTCCAGAGGCATGTTGTTTAGGAAGTAGATGGCATTCCTGCTTCCAATGTTTTGGTATAAAGGACAGGATTTATTTTTTTTTTTAGAAAATGTGGTCTATTGTAAATATCTTAATACCTAGCTTCCAAAATAACATTTTATAATCCACTTCACCTCAACCCATTAAAATCACATATGCCATGTTTGCATTCAACCACTAAGAGAGACACATTTTAAAAAAAAAGAGAGAGACACTGTAGCTAACTCTGGCGCACACACATGTGGGTATAAAGCTCACATATATGGGATAGCCACTGGAATATGTGAGTAACAGGAAGAGGGGACACCACACATAGACTCTCAGAGCTGAGGGTCCTTGCATGTCTCAATTCTGCCCTGAATCTGGGCAAAGGGAATTTTGACTACTATTCTTATAGCTTTCCTTTAAATTTGAAATGATTTCCAAAGACAATATCAATATCACTTAGGTTTTTTAAATTGCTGTGTGGTCAGTTTATAGCTTTAATTAATAAATATCATTAATATTTTTTTAAAATTTCCATGTGTCAGGCAATTTTGTTACACTAAATTTATTTCATGTTAATAATTATTCCTTGAAGCAGTATCAGTTTGCAGTTTAAAAAATCAATT